ATTCTGTTCAGTCCTTCTGCGACTATCAAGAACAAGAAGGGAGACAATGGATCGCCTTGCTTAAGTCCTCTTGAGACAGGAAATTGTTTAGATGGGCTTCCATTAACCAACACTGACAGTAGACTGGTTTGAAGACACGCCATGATCCATTTTCTCCATATTTCATTGAACCCAAACCTCATCATCATGTAATCAAGGAAGCTTAGTCTTTGACCAGAGTTTAATTCAATTCAACTTGACGATAACGCTGCCTTGCATGCGTGAATGTTGGGCTTGTTTGGTGTCACGGGATGCAAATTGCGCTCGGAAGTCAAGTTTGGGGATGTCTGGTAAAAGTTTTGACAAACCTAAAGTCTCAATTAGTTCATAACCAATTAGGCCGTCGCCTGGAGGTCAACCTAGCAAGTATTGCCTGACACCAAACAAGTCAAATTCATGCATGCAAGGCAAAAGGGTTAGGATTAAAGTATGAGAGAGTACTTATTAAGTATTTGAGTCTTTATATATTTATATATATTTAATACATCGAATAAAAGATTATATAATAAAAAATATTTTATTATCTTTTTAATTTTTTTTATTCATTTTAAAATTTAAATTTAAAATTTTTAACTTAAAATTTAAACTCTTTATGATTGTAATATTCCATAAAAGACTTCTACATATGTATAAATATATAATTGTATTGTTCTTGTCACATGAGATATGAACACATATGTCAACACAACAAACAAAACACAAATTTCCTTTCTATAGTGATTGAAAAACCCCTTAACTGGTGAATCCAAATGTTAGCCTTCTACGTTAAAAAGGGAGGTTTATATCTCATATGTGCTTCATCCAACTAAGAAGTATTGCTTGAGAAGAAAAAAGAAAATTCAACCCAAGAAAATTTCTGAATCAGCAAAATCAGTCCACCTATGTCAGTTACCTACACCCGTGACAAATTTCTGCATGCCGGCGTCAACCTCCAACCTTCACTTACTGGCAACTCGGACTCGGTCAACTAATTCAAATTGCTTCAATTGAATTAAATTCAAAATCGTGACAATTCCCTATCACCCAGGGCAATTCTTTCGTATAAAATTTTCGAAGATCCAGGAAATTTTTATTATCACATTTTCTTCCCTTCTTGATTTCAATTACAGCCCCTAAATACTTTAGGCTTCAGAAACATGAAATTCCCACAGTTTCTGCTTCTATTTTTCTTATTCCACTGCATTCTTTACTTGGGTATAACCCAGATAGAAAATTTTGAAGCAAGAGAAGAAAAGGAAGCCCTTCTGTACTTCAAATCCCAACTGAGTGACCCACAAAATGCACTCTCAGGCTGGACACACAACACTTCACATTGCACCTGGAGTGGTGTCTTGTGCAGTAACAATGGATCCTTTGGAGTACAGTCTCTCCAGCTTGGCGGCCTTGGCCTTACCGGGCCCTTATCGCCTCAGCTCGCTAACCTCACTCTCCTCCAGAATCTCAACCTTTCCTTCAACTCGTTTTCTGGGAAAATCCCCCTGGAGTTTGGCAGGCTCTCACTTCTCCAGCATATTGACCTCACCAAAAATTCAATCAGTGGCAATATTCCGGCCATTTTATCGGCTTGTCATAACCTTACAACACTCAGGCTAGTAGCAAACAACCTCACAGGTAACCTTCCACCTGAACTTGGCAACTTACAAGCGCTCAGGATACTTGATGTTTCGGTCAATAGCCTCACCAGCAAAATCCCTTCTACATTGGGGAACCTTTCCTCTCTTACTTTTCTTGCCCTTGCAAGAAACCAACTTGTTGGGGAAATTCCAGCTGAATTAGGTCGTCTACAAAACTTCAATACATTCAACTGTCGGAAAATCATCTTTCCGGGGAAATTCCAGGTTCTTTCTACAACATTTCTTCATTAATCTTCTTATCTCTAACCCAAAACAACTTCACAGGAAACCTACCAAATGAAATGGGTGAAGCTTTCCCAAATCTCAGACAACTTTTTCTAGCACAGAACAACTTCCAAGGAACCATACCAGTTTCTATAACAAATTCTTCTATAATTGAATTCCTTGATTTATCTAGAAACAAATTTCATGGGCCAATTCCACTGTTTGGCAATATGAAAAATCTCATCAGGTTGGACGTTGGTCAAAATAATCTTGTTTCTTCTACTGCAAGGAATCTTCAGCTGATTGATTCTCTAGCAAATTGTACTCAGCTCGAGTATCTGATGATTTACACCAACCAACTCTCCGGAGAATTTCCATCCTCAGTTGCAAATCTTTCAGCCAATCTTCAACATTTTTGCTTTTCAGACAATTTGTTAACCGGGAGCTTCCCTCAAGGTGTTGAAAATTTTCAAAACCTCATTTCTGTGTCTATAGAGAAAAACTCTTTTACAGGTGAAATCCCGAGGACCCTAGCAAAACTTAGAAATCTGCAAAGTTTTGTAGCTTACCAAAATATGTTTTCTGGGAATATCCCAGATTTCTTTGGCAATTTTTCTCGACTTTCTGATCTCCAGTTAGGAATTAACCAGTTTTCTGGTGAAATTCCTCGTAGTCTAGGGGACTGTCGACAGCTGAATACCTTAAACCTAGCTGAGAACAGACTTACTGGAATCATACCAACAGAAATATTCAGGCTTTCCAGTTTGACCAACTTGTATCTGGGACAAAACCTTCTAAGGGGTTTTGTCCCTAGTGAAGTAGGTAACTTGGAACAGCTTGAATACTTTGATGTTTCTGGTAATCATTTATCTGGAAATTTAACTTCATCCATTGGAGATTGTTCATCTCTAAGGTTTCTTATCCTGTCAAGGAACAACCTTAGTGGTGAAATTCCAAGTTCAGTTGGGAAGCTGACATCAATGGAGATTTTAGATCTTTCCTCTAACAATTTGTCCGGAGAAATCCCATTAGACTTGGAAAATCTCCAAATCTAAGGAAATTAAATCTGTCTTTCAATCATTTGGAAGGTGAAGTTCCAATAGGAAAAATCTCCTCAAATCTCAGCTCATTTTCTCTCCAAGGAAACAATGAACTCTGTAGCTCCAATCAAGAAATTGCAAGGAATTTGGGAGTTTCTCCATGTAAAACAAAGAAACAGATAGAAAAAACTTTCTCAAGATTCTAGCTTCAGCAGCAGGGGCAACTCTATTTATCGTTGTGATGTTATGCTTTTTATGGGTCTGGATATCCAGGAAGAAGAAAAACAAGGAGAACAAAGGCAATACAACTTCTCCTTTGAAGGGTTTTCCTCCGATGATATCTTACTCTGATATCCGCCATGCTACAAGCAACTTTTCAGCTGAAAATTTGATTGGAAAAGGAGGTTTTGGTTCTGTTTACAAAGCTGTGCTTGATAACACTACCTTAGCAGTGAAGGTACTTGACATGCAAGCAAGCAGAGCTTTCAAAAGTTTTCTAACGGAATGTGAAGCTTTGAGAAATATCAGACATAGAAATGTTGTCAAGATCATTACCTCATGCTCAAGCATCGACTACAAGGGAGACGAATTCAAGGCACTGATCATGGAATTCATGCCCAATGGAAACCTGGATAGGTGGCTGTATCCTGTGCCAGAAGATGTGGAATCAGGGTTATGCTTGACCCTGCTGCAAAGACTGAATATTGCCATAGATATTGCTTCTGCAATGGACTATCTTCACAATGACTGCAATCCACCAGTAGTACATTGTGACTTGAAACCTGAAAACGTTCTTCTGGATGAAGACATGGCTGCTCATGTTGGGGATTTTGGATTGGCAAGGTTTATTTCCGAAAATCTATCACAGGGAAAAAGCAGCACAATTGAACTGAAAGGTTCTATTGGTTACATTGCTCCAGGTAAACTAAACCACTACCCTTGCCAAATTCATTTTCTTATTCAAAAAAAAAAATTGTTGTTGGTTCATACTTCTAAATTTTCTCCTCATTTTTTTTTCTTCATTTTTTTTAACAGAGTATGGTCTAGGAGGCAAAGCATCAAGGAGTGGAGATGCGTATAGTTTTGGGATCCTTTTGCTTGAGATATTCATTGCAAAGAAACCAACAGATGCGATGTTCAAAGAAGGATCAAGCCTCAACGAATTTGCATCGGCAATGACCATTGATGACCAAGCTTTGAACCACATTATTGATCCCAGGCTGTTCAAGAATATTAACGATGGAACTCCAATGCAAAGCTTGAGCATTACTTCCTCTAGCAGCAGCAGCAGCAATCGCACCAACCGCAGTTTTAGGATGGAAAATTATGAAGAGTGTTTAGGAGCAGTAATAAGAGTTGGTTTGGCTTGTGCAGCTCAAAATGCAAGAGATCGTTTATCAATCAGAGAGGCCCTGGCAAAGTTACTACAGATTAAGAAATCTTTGCTCCGCTCTTGAAAATGGGCACGCGGCAATGGTATGTGCAGTCGCAGTTGTCCAATCACGGTCATGGGTAGTTTAAACTACACTAATCTATATTTCTATCAAGTTATATCATGATGTAATGTTATTTAATATCTAGGGGAAATTATATTAGGCTTAGTTTTCTATTTCTATTAGGATTTGATTAGTTTTCTGTTTCGTTTAAGATAAATTATCATGCATTAAGTGTGATTTTAGGAATGACTACACAAGAATAATAAATGTTTAAAAGGCATACAACTACGAAAATTCAAACCCAGAATAGAATACAGAACATATCAATTGAAGAGTAAACAAAGAGGGACTTTGGTTCATTTGCTCAAAAATTTCTGCAACGCTAACGGCGTAATGGAGTGGTATTTTACTATTTTTACCTTTTTAAAAAAAATTTTCTTATAAAGAGAGCCCCTAGTTGTGTTAATCATTAAGTTGCATGTATACATAGAATATAACAATTACTATTTATTAATATGGGTTTTTTTATCAGCTATCTCACAGAAGATAGCATTTTTAGACATGCATTTCACTAATTAATTCTCCATTTCATATATATGGGGTTGTGATTTTTAATTTTTATAAAATTTATGATTTTAAATAAAACAACTAATTTACAACCATTCTATACAACAACAACGCCATACCCATCTTATTTTATTTTTTTCTCATATAAATGGTTAGATGTCTATGGCATGCCACAAGATTAATTGTTTTTTAAACAATTTTAAAGATATGCTTTTACATTGATTTGGTGTATTTAAAAAGATTAATTTTTTAAATAATGATCTTAACACTTAAAAAATATATCAAATTTATAAAATAATATTTATTTATTAAGAAATTTAACTTTAAGGGTTTGCCCAAAATCAATTTAACGTCGGCCTTTTTTTTGTTTTTTTTTTTTTAAGAATAATTAATCCAATAGCAATGCGATTTTTTGGGGTAAATCTAGAAGCTGGACCAAGGCCCAATTAACAAGGTGGGGCTTAGGCCTTTACCATATGAGAAAAAGTTTTTACTCTTGTTCTGTTTGATGGAGTCCGATGTTGGGTTGTAGCCCATAGCTCGTCAAAATTTTTACCAAACCAAAGGAAAATGACTTATGCTAGCCAGTAGCAGGCCCAACATCTAGCATGCAAATTTTCTTTCGTTTAATTTTTTTCTTTTGATATTCAGAATAAGGAGATTGAGAATACACATGCATGTTATTATTTGGACTATTAACTCAGGTGCGGCGAGAACCCAAATCTTTTCTGTTCTGCCTTAATTCTCTTTCCTCCCTTCGATCTCTTCCCTATCCTCCTCCGCCGAGTGCTCATCATTGACGAAGCAGCAACCTAAGTCTGCAAGACGCCTTGCTGCCACCAAACTCCATCCTTCTTCTCTTTAAAGTTTAAACCTAAAAAATATGGGATCTTCAGATTTGTGAATAGTGGGTGCAGGGAGATTATTTGGCTTACTTGAAGAAAAAAAAAATTGTTTTCATATCTTGGCAATAAAGAATTAGATTAAAGCTTTTTGGGTTAAAAAAAAAAATGAAAAGGTTAGAACTTTCTAGTGATGGAATTTTGAAGATAAAGCTGCTTAAATTTGCCTAATTAAATCATAGATCAATACAAAGCTCCAGGCACTTTGTTCCTATATTTATGGCTAAAGTCCCATTATAGTAGACAAATAGGAGTAAAAGAAGAGAAGTAATTCGCCCCTGCATTGTTTATTTTAGAAGCAAAAATTATCTCTTCTTTAAACGCTCACTACGAGCAAAATGCCCTATACGAACGGAAGTCTATACCAACGGATAAAAAATCCATCTGTATAAATCATATATATTAACGAAAAACTTCAACCGTTAGTATACACAAGTCTATACCAACAGAAAACTATATCCGTTAATATAGACTTGGTTTATACAGACGGTTTAGTGATTATCCGTCTATATACAGTATATCTATTCTAACGACAATTATTATGTGTCTGTATAAATATATCTATATAAATGGATTAGTGTTTTGTCGTTATAGCCCCCTATTTTTTTAACACTTTATTTTTTCTTTCTAATTTCAGCCTGCCTTACTTTCCCTTCCCACCGCGCCCCCCCAATTTCCCTCCCTTATTTTCGAGCTTCCCTCCCCAATTTCTAACCTTCCCTCCTCACAAATCTACAAAATTTGTAATTGATTTTGCTAAAACTCAAAACCCATTCGAACTTAGTTGCAAAATTCGTTTCCTCCACTCTAATCCATCAACAACAGAGGATTGCTTGCAGCCAACCGCAGGCCCGCTTGCTCTCTCCTCTCCGTCAACCATGGTACCGCCGCCTCTCTCTCTCTCTCTGTTTCTATAAGATTCCATTAAGTTGTGTATGCTCATCTTTGCTATTACTGGTTTCATTTTTGCTATTACTGGTTTCATTGTTGTTTTTTGATTGTTTGGTTTCATTTTGGTTTCAAGTTCCGATCGCATCGCCATCACCGTCATAACTTCACTATTAAATCTTCCAAAAAACTCTCTAACTGAAATCACCAACTCTTCTACATTCCCGAAGCAGATAGAGTAACTCAAAAGAATATTTGTAAGATATGATTATGGGCCAGGAAGAAGCCAACCAGAGAATATCGCCGTCAAAGGAGTTTAGAGGAAGAGAGGAGTTCCGCTCAACCATTTCCCATGCAATCTTAGCTCTCACTTTATGGCTTGGACCCATCTATTTCAACGCCTTCTTAGTTTTTATCTCGCTGCTCTTCCTCCCCCTTTCCAAGTCCCTTGTGTTCTCTCTCTCTCTCTCTCTCTCTCTCTTGCTTTCTCTGTTTCCTCCTTTTCTAGTTCGGTAGAAAAAACAAAGTCTTCTCCTTTTCCCCTGTATTTATTCTGGGTCAAAACCCCTTTTTCATAATTTTTTTCAGGGTGATTGGATTGCTTTTGGTTTTCATGCTCATTCCTATCTACCCTTATAGTAAATATGACAAGCAATTGGCCAAGTACTGTTCTGTGTCTGTTGTTTTCCTTTTTAATGGTGAAGTGAATGAATTTCCTTAGTCATTTCTTGAAATGAATTCCAATTACCATTGCGAGGATTCTACTTGATTTTCAAGTCTCAAAGTTACATATGTGGGAAATAAATATTTAGATTGAATTTGAAATGTCTATAGTCCAAAATGACTTGTGTTGAAATTGTTTAAGTGGTTTGTTTGATTGCTCAAAAACAATTGAAACATAATGTCGAGCTTCCTGATTATTGATTTGCTTGCTTTTTCTGGTATGTTGCTCTTGTCTTAAGTGTGAATGATTGTCTTCTTCAAAATTAGGATTAAACTTATATATACTTTCTATAATGCGCTTGTTACACTAATTTTGTGATTGTCAAGTTGCTATTAAAATGGTTGGCATGGACTTACACTGGTTAACATATGTACACTACTTGGTGATGATGAAATCAGATTTAAGAAGGATTAAGCCAAATAATACATGTCATTTATGGTGCTTGAGTAGTACTCCAAAGTCTCCAATTGGGGGATAATGATGTTGTCATGGAAAGTTCTCTGGAATAAATTACTATTGTAAATTTGACAGAATTTTATGATTTAGGCTAATGATGTTCTCTACTCTTATTAATCTTCCATCAAGTAAGTGGTTCTATTCCACATTAGTCTAGTTTGGGATTGGAGGCTCTAATATTCAAGTTGACTTCATGATTGCTAATCAATTAGGAAGGTAGGATGCGTTGACATGGTTTCAATGTTCTGGTTTTTTTGTTTCCTTCTTTGTTGTTCATAACCATGTTTGGGGTAACAAGCAATGAAATAGAAAGTAAGCACATAGCGAACTATTCTTTCGCCTTTTACTAAAGAACACCGTGTGTTAACTGCATCAAGTGGCATACACTAATTTTTGGACAGCTCTCCATTGGAAGAATTTCTAATTTTAGTTCAAAGTTTTATTTTTGGACTTCTCCATTTGCTGGATTTCTGATATTTTGTATTGGTGATTTTGGCTTTGATTTTCTGTATTTTTCTTTTCATTATTATTTATATGATTTTTTTAATTCTTGCCATTAGATATTCATTAAATCCAAAGAATTGTGTTGTGTTTGTTTATTGGAAATTGAATGTAATATGTAGTTTGACAAAGTTTTATGGTATATTTAGCTTATTGATTCTTTTCTATTTAATTTTTCATAAAAATTTTAGGATAATAAGTAATGAAAAGAGTATTAACCTGTTTTACAAAATTCTATGCATATTTCCTTTAATGAAACAATGTCATTCCACATCTAAAGCCTCTTTTCTTTCTTTTCATCTTCCTCATCCTTGTCCTTTCTTTTTCCGTTGGCTTTTCCCCAAATAATCGTTCCTCTTCACAATCAAGCCATCACCTTTTGTCTCGCCAAAATGAAAGTAATGAAGAAAATGATGGGCAAAGGGATTGAAAGGCATGTTTGTGTCTCCTTGCTTGACAGTTTAAAGACAAATGACTTTCTAGTTTGGTAGATGCATTTTCTTTTGGACAATTTTACATTGATACCAGATTATCGTGAAGTATTAGAAGTTTTACGTTGCTTTTCATTGGAAATTCGTTTAGATCTGGTGTTTCCTCTCTTACTGTTCTTGCACTTGCGAGAAACCAACTGCTTGGGGAAATTTCAGCTCAATTAAGTCGTCTACAAAACCTCCAATCCATTCAGCTTTCGAAGAATCATCTCCCCGGACAGATTCCAGATTCTTTCCACAACATTTCTTCATTAATCTGCTTATCTCTAACGCAAAACAACCTCACAGGACACCTACCAAATGAAATGGACGAAGCTTTCCCAAATCTCAGACAACTTTTTCTGGCACAGAACAACTTCCGAGGAACCATACCAGTTTCTATAACAAATTCTTTTATAATTGAATTCCTTGATCCGTATAGAAACAGATTTCATGGGCCAATTCCACTGTTTGGCAACATGAAGAATCTCATCAGGTTGGACGTTGGCCAAAATAATCTCCTTTCTTCTACAGCAAGGAATCTCATGTGATTGATTCTCTGGCAAACTGTTCTCAGCGCGAGTATCTGATGATTTATACCAACCAGATCTCTGGGGAATTTCCATCCTCAGTTGCAAATCTTTTAGCCAATCTCCAACATTTTTGCTTTTCGGACAATTTCTTGACCGGAGGCTTCCCTCAAGGTGTTGACAAATTTCAGAACCTCATTTCTGTGTATATAGAGAGAAATCCTTTTACAGGTGAGATCCCGAGGACCACAGCAATTGTTAGATATCTGCAAAGTTTTGGAGCTTACCAGAATATGTTTTCTGGGAATACATCGGATGTCTTTGGCAATTTTTCTCAACTTTCTGATCTCAAGATAGGAATTAACCAGTTTTTTTGGTGAAATCCCTCCTAATCTAGGGGAATGTCAACAGCTTAATACCTTGGACCTAGCTGAGAACAGGCTTACTGGAAGCATACCAACAAAAATATTTAGGCTTTCTAGTTTGACCAACTTGTATCTAAGACCAAACCTTCTAGGTGGTTCTCTCCCCAGTGAAGTAGGTAACTTGAAAGCGCTTGAATACTTTGACGATTGTGGTAATCATTTATCAGGAAATTGAGCTTCATCCATTGGAGAATGTTCATCTCTAAGGTTTCTTATCCTGGCAAGAAACAACCTTAGTGGTCAAATTCCAGGTTCAGTTGGGAAGCTGACATCGATGGAGATTTTGGATCTTTCCTCTAACAATTTTTCTAGGAAAATCCCATTAGACTTGGAAAATATTCAACATCTGAGGAAATTAAATGTCTTTCAATTATTTGGAAGGAGAAGTTCCAACAGGAAAGATCTTCTCAAATCTCAGCTCATATTCTCTCCAAGGAAACAGTGAACTCTGCAGCTCCAATCAAGAAATTGCAAGAAATTTGGGAGTTTCTCCATGTAAAACCAAAAGAACAGGTAGAAAGAACATGCTCAAAATTCTAGCTTCGGTAGCAGGGGCTACTCTGCTTATCACTGTGATGTTATGCCTTTTTTGTGCATGGATGTCCAGGAAGAAGAAAAACAAGGAGAACAAAAGCAATACAGCTCCTCCTTTGAAGGGTTTTCCTCCGATGATATCTTACTCTGATATCCACCATGCTACAAGCAACTTTTAAGCTGAAATTTTGATTGGAAAAGGAGGTTTTGGTTCTGTTTACAAAGCTGTATTTGATAACACTACGTTGGCAGTGAAGGTATACTTGACCTACAAGCAAGCAGAGCTTTCAAAAGTTTTCTAACAGAATGTGAAACTTTGAGAAATATCAGACATAGAAATGTTGTCAAGATCATTACCTCATCCTCGAGCATCGATTACAAGGGAGATGAATTCAAGGCACTAATTATGAAGTTCCTGCCCAATGGAAACACGGATAGGTGGCTGCACCCTGTGCCAGAAGATGTGGAATCAGGGTTATGCTTGACTCTGCTGCGAAGGCTAATATTGCCATAGATATTGCTTCTGCAATGGATTATCGACAAAATGACTACAATCCACCAATAGTACATTGTGACCTGAAACCTGAAAATTTTCTTCTGGATGAAGACATGGCTACTCATGTTGGGGATTTTGGATTGGCAAGGTTTATTTCTGAAAATTTGTCACAGGGCAAAAGCAACACAATTGGTTACATTGCTCCAGGTAAACTAAATCACTACCCTTGCCAAATTCATTTTCTTATTAAAAAAAAACTGTTGTTGGTTCATACTTCTAAATTTTCTTCTTCTTTATTCTTCTTCTTTTTCTTCTTTTTTAACAAAGTATTGTTAGGAGGCAAAGCCTCAAGGAGTGGAGATGTGCACAGTTTTGGGATCCTTCTGCTTGAGATATTCATTGCAAAGAAACCAACTAATGCGATGTTCAAAGAAGCATCAAGCTTCAATGAATTCACATCTGAAATTACTACTGATGACCAAGCTTTGAACCACATTATTGATCCCAGGCTGTTCAAGAACATTAACGATGGAAGTCCAATGCAAAGCTTGAGCGTTACTTCCTCTGTTAGCGGTGGTAGCAACAGCAGCAATTGTACGAGCCACAGTTATAGGATGGAAAAATGTGAAGAGTGTTTAAGAGCAGTAATAAGAGTTGGTTTGGCTTGTGCAGCTCAAAATGCAAGAGATTGTTTATCCATTAGAGAAGTCCAGGCAAAGTTACAAGAGATTAAGAAATCTTTGCTCTGCTCTTGATAACAGGCATGCAGCATTTGTCTGTGCAGTCACAGTTGTGCAATCATGGTCATGGGTACTTTGAATTGCAATAATCCATATTTCTAGGAATCAGCTTGTGATATAATG